GATGGCACCTGGCAGCAGGTGTTGACTGTGGCACTTCAGCACTGAGGCAAGCGCATCCTGCAGGAATGCACACAGAACAAGGACTCGGGATGACAGGTGGCCTGTGACCATGCTCAAGTATTGTAAGCTTCTGTGAACACCGACCAGGCTCAAAGACAAGACTCGTTAGGAGGGCATTAAATGAAGGGCTCCTTCAACAGAATCCCCGGGGAAGAGCCTCCCCAATTACTCTGCAGACCACAAGTAGAAAGCAAGGCCGCTTCACCTGCCTGTGCCCTCTTGAGCCACAAGAGCCTTGCACTCAGAACCCCACTTAGTCTAGCACTCTGCTGTTGTTATCTAAAGCTCTTAATAATCTTACCTTTGAACTTGCACTTTGTAAACGAAGCAGTAGTACCTGAGATCTGGAGTGCTCCTTGCCAGCCCATGGGTGTATGGTGCTCTGTGCCCCAGGAGCAGAATCCTGATGGACCCCAATTCATGGATGCTCAGACCTAGAGCAAGGTACCAGCCTGGGAACCATGCCTTCTCATCTACAAGCATGTGCTTGTAACCCTCAGGACAAGAGCATCCTAAGAAACACAAGGAACCAAAGAAGCCCCCACATCCAATCCCTCGCCTGTACCAGCCAACCCTTTCACTGAAAATGAAAGCAATGCACCCAGACTCCTGCAGCTCTCATGACACACAGAGTGTGGAGGGACTGTGACGGGCCAGGCCCTCTGTGCAGGACCCCTGCCACTGTGGCAGAAGTTGTGAGATACGTATGTGCCATCTCCATTCTCCACATACAAGTCAAATGGCCACATATTTGCACTTAAAGATTGTCATAGCACACAGTAAACAAACAGTTCATACTAATGATTTAAATTTTTAACTTTACTCACATCGCATAGTAAATCAGAACCACTATGACAAGAGTGTTGAGAATAGCTTTGTTACTCTTGAAGGCGCATTGTTCCTGCTTTCTGAACAAGAGGCTCCACAATTTACACAGCCAGTGAGCACACAGCCCCTGCCAGGGCAGTGCACCCAGAGCTCCCGAGTCCAGGTCTCAACTCCAGGCACCAGGAGGGGCAAGATCAGCCCACTCCCCCAAGAGCATGCCTTTAGTGTCCTCTTCCTCAACAACAATGAGCTTGTGAAACTACACTCAGTGCCTTGGAGTACAGTGAGGGGGAGACAATGTTTGTTCAGACTGTCCCAGAAACAGTAGTGACCTCAGGCCACCACCTCCAAACTCAGCCTTTCTGGCCAAGACCATCCTAGCCAGATCCTCTTCCGCTGTGGGGTGTGTGCCTTGCTCACCAGCTTATGATCCCTCCTGGCATGAGGAAGACCAGCTGACACACCGAGTGTAAGTGCCCTGTAGGTGGTGGGACTCTCTGAGGGCATCCAAGCTCCCTTTTTTTCTACTCAGTATATTATGGTTCTTATTTTTATGCACAAACTCAGGGTAACAGCATAAAATCTGCATCTGAGAGGTGGGCCTACAGACTGAAACCCTGACCTCCCCTAATCTCCTACAGCATCCCCCAGGCCGGCCAAAGGCCAGGCTCCCTCTAGTGTTCAGGTGATGAATCTGCAGTCCTCAAGTAAAACTTGGAAGTTCTGGAAAACATTAAATACACTTTGTTATCCCCACTGACAACCATTTAGATGACAGGGCTTTTAGTGAGAATCTGTTAAGAAACTCTTGAAAAGCCATGCTACAAAGGTAAAAACACTGCATCACTTCAGAAGCCAGAATGTCTGCTGTGGGGTGGCCACGCGGAGCTTCAGGTGCAGTAGCCAGGGTGGGACACCGGGGTCCAGGCTCAAACCACAGTGCCTCACCTTGAAGACACATGCACACCCAGGCTCCCTCCTCATGGCCTGAGGAAGGTGAATCCATGACTGTTCCTAAAGCCAGCTGAACTTCCAAATCTGAATATCTATGACTGTCAAGTACATGAAAAAAGCCCCCATGACTTGGAAACTAGAACAGGGATACAATATTTAAAAAGAAAAAAATCTTTTTGTGGCCAAGATGTGACTGAGTCTCCTGATACAGGTAGAAAACCTCCTTGGGATGGAAAACATATTTCTGGTGTCTCAATCATTCCCATCCATATCCCCACGACCCACCAAGCTCCATGGCCAGCACAGCTGCATGGCCCTCCCTGTGGTCAGCAATTCTGCTATAGTTCCAGAGCCTGGGAGCTTGGTGAGTCCTAGGGAGTAGTGTCTAGAGAATACATTGACAGTATTACTGGGAATGATCTGGCCTCTTAGAAGGCAGAGGATGAGAGCAGTTGGTCACCAGTGGGAGCAGTTAGCTGGTAACCTTCCCTTGGCTGAACAGTGAGGAGCGCCCCTTTCCAGCTGGGTCTCGCTAGCTGCAGTGTGGTGAGTGGCCAGCAGGGGGAAGAGAAGTGTCAGGAAGCAGTCAGGGTTCTGGCAGCAGTGGAGAGGGATATGTTTTGGAGACTCCTGGATTTGGCTGTCCTACCAAAAGATGCCAGAAAGGAGGATGGGAAGTGTGAAGTCAGTCAGACTCTGCCTTGCTGACTTCTTTGGACGGCCTTTTCAACATTCTAGTTTAGTAAAGTTTTCTTTACAGGAAAACAAAAACAACAAAAAAGCATGTCTTTAAAATCACCCACTGTGGTGAATGAACCTAGGCATCAGTAAGTTACCTCAGCTTGTATCCATTCCGAGGACTTACCCAAAATGTGCACTGAAAAGATAAATTACTTTCATTTAGAAAGAAAATGACTGAATTTGGTTAACAAGTCCCAAATGTCCAATTTAAGAAAACTAATATAAAAATTAACTCAGAGATCACGTGTCACCCTACAGTCTTGAGCTGGGATGTCTTATCTGTGTAATTCTTCCCAATGAGACAGGTACTGACACCAAAGCCAAGTGCTCAGAATATACTACAGCTCTGCTTCAGAGATTAAACTTAACTTTCTTGACTAGAATGTAGTTTTTAGATATTAAAATGACTTGGCAGTTATAAAAACATGCTTCGTAGTTTTCTGGGTTTTTTTTTTTTTTTCAGAAACCTCAATTACAAACCCTCAGTAGGATTAAATAAGCATTTCTGACTTTTTAATTTTATCATTTTTACATTTACTCACATGTATACATTGTTTGGGCCACCTCCCCCCACACACACATACGTTTTTTTTCTTGATGAAGAGTCCTAGACTTGTTAATGCCAGAGGCAGTGGACAGAGAGAGGCTGCCACCCTGTAGCTCAAGGGGCTGCAAGATAAGCTGTCAAACAACTCTAAGGCAGCATAGCAAGCTGACCCAGGATCCAGTTATTTTAACAAAGGGCATTTACATTACTACAGCAAGTTTCCACACATTCACCTACAGGTAGGCTCTAAACTTTTAAAAAGTCAACTGATCCACAAGAGCTACTTGGCTGAGCAGGAAGGACGAGCCAACCTCTCTGATGACTAGAAAAAAGCCAAGAGCAAGAACCCTGACAGTTCACCCACTTTTCTCATCACAGGCATGAAGGCAACTCCATGTACCCCTGGAGGGTTTAACTACAGGTTTGGGAGTCATAAACCTGGAGCAAACTCCAGCTCCACCTTACACTCTGCCTCCCCCCGGTCCTCATCTGCAAAGAATCTCACCATCCACCTAGTCTTTTGTTGACTTGACTTTATCCCCCCTCATGCCTCATTTTAGTTTTCAGTTTAAAAAATAAAAACCAGCAGACAGCAATCCCTAAAAAGCCTTCTCTGACAAGTAAGCTATTTGTAGACTCAAACCCACAAGCCAGGAATTAGCAGCACTCCTGTATGAGGGCCTCTCTGGTTCCTACTTCACAGCCCCTTCTAGGACAATCCTCTGGATGGGAGGCCTGGTCTTCCTGGATGACAGGCAAAGCCACAGAGCCAGGTCCCCATGCCTCCCTCCACTGAGAGCCCTACCCCAGTGCCATCTGTCCTAAGCAGCTGAAGAAAAGAGGTTTTGGAAGCCCCACCAGTCCCTCAGTCCTGCAGAGCCAGGTGCTCTACAGCCTGCTCTAATGCTCCCGCTCACCAAGAACTCTAGTGTGTCTAGGCTCATCCAAACTCACTGTACTCCACAAAGCACCTAGGAGTTCCCTCCCCCAGCAAGCACCCCACAGCATCATGCAGCAGCATCACGACACTGTCACCTTTGCTTGTGAACTGAACAAATTTCTTAAATGCTTGGAACAACTTTGCAGAATTTGAGAATCAGAAGACTTTTATTTTGACAGGACATTTCTAAAGGGCATGCCCAAGTGCAGACCCATTCACAAACTCTCTTCTGTCTTACTAGCTTATATGCCCCTTTCCTTACTACGTCCAGACACTGCCATGCAGCCTTCACTGCACACATCACCTAGCTAAGGTAAAGACAGCAACATGAATTCAGACACCCTAAATAAGGCCTACACCAATGAAGGGTAATGGGGAAACTGTTTCTTCAATGTCAAATTCGGGATTTAAAAAAAAAAAAATACCCAAATCTTCTCAACCCATCTGAAGGGCTAATCATTAAGTAAGTTGTGACGCTTAAAACAAACTGACAACACTTTCCTGCCCTTTGTCATGACTGCCCATTCTTCAAGATGCTACAAGAGACTGCTGTGACGCACTCCGGTGAGGACGCCCTTCCTCTGAAACACTTCTTGGCAACGCACTCCCAGTGCTCTCTGCGATGAGTCTGAATGTCAGACATCCCGCTCTGCCTCTGCAATGTCACCAGTACTGCTCTCTCCCATGCCAGAAGGAAAAGATTTGCAGCTGAATTTTTCCAACAGCTGTAGAGAGGTCTTTCACCAGTGAGGGGAGCCATTGGGCTGGCACAGGAACTGCCCTAAGTACTGCTGTGCACTGGCTCCATCAGAGTTCTCCATTTTCTGAAGAAAAGAGGCCCACATGTTAAGAAAGAGATTTAAATGGGCATTAGTTACCAGAACTATACATTCAACATCACTATAAAGATAATTTTTTTACACACTGTAGTTTTTAATTGAATTTGAAGATGTTTATTGCATTCTATTTTTGGTGGAAAAAAAATGTAACATACATTTAGCACAACCTTGTGAAATCCACAAAGCGAGCTGAGTGAGAAGCATTTTTCTACTCCTAGTCCACTTCAAGGACTATATCATGAACTGCTCCACTGTAATTAAATACTCCTTGCAATTGTTGGGTACCATGTGTAACACTTTAATTTTCTCCTCTCAGTATAGGCAGCAATTCACCATTTTCTTTGAGTTCCTGAAAATAAAAAACACAGTATGTATCTGCATATATAAAACAATGAAAACCTCTATTACTCACAGTCTTGCATCTGTATGTAGAAATCAACAGGCACACCTAAGTATTGTGCCATAAAACTGGACACAGGGATGGGGATGGTAACTCAGCAGAAGAGTACTCGTCTAGCATACCAAAGTCCTGGGTTTTATCCCTGGCACTACCAAAAAAAAAGACATTATTGGAACAACTGAAATTTGAAGACAGATAATTTTTTTAAAAATTATATACAGTCATCCTTCAGAACACATGGGGGACTGGTTCCAAGACCCACCAAGTGTTTGCATACAACCTACACGTTCTATGTACTTTAAGTCATTTATAGGTCACATTAAAGCCAAATACAATACAAGTGCTGTGTAAGCACTGCTGTGCTATAATGTTTAGGGATAACAACAAGAAAAAAAAGTGGTACATGTACAGTACAGATGCAATTTTTTCCAAGTATTTTTGATATTTGATTGGTTGAATCCATCCACATAGAACCCACAAGATTCCACAAGGTATGTCATGGGTTTGAAACATTTAGAAACAATTTCTAAATAATTACAACACAATTACTTTAAGCTATTTATGCAACATACTTTGAGAAAACTCAAGAGATATTTTTCTCTCAAGGAAGGGTTGAATGCATACCATCAAATCGCAAAATTTAAAGGCATTCTAAAAAACAAGACTTGTTCAGTGAGCAAACACAGCAACAGAATCAAAACAATAAAACCTCCGACTTAAATTATAATGATAAGTAAGGAGAAAATTAAGTGATATGCAAGGTTGAAGAATGAAGCAATGCGACATTCATTAATAGTCTATTCCCACAGTCCCATACAGCCAACCTGGGAATCTGTCTATGTCTCAAGAAAAGACACATGCAGTACCAGGAAAGTGTAAAAACCAGAAGTCATTAAAAAAGATTCAGTAAGCCAGACAAAGCTGCACGCGCCCACAGTACCACTCCCTGCCTCGGAAGGCTAAGGCAGGAGAAATAGTTCGAGGCCAGCCTAAGCACATAGTGAGACCTTTTCTCCTCAAAAATAGACACAAAAAAAGCAGTAATTCAGAAACCTAGAAATGACACCAAAAGAGCTACCATGAGGTTTACTCAAATCACAGGACAAGTTCTACACTTTTTGTGTCTATTTGTCAAGATTGAAAATCTGGAGTACAGACATCAAGTTCGATACAGGATTGTAAAAAGTAAGATTTTCTTGCCCAGCTAGGCATGATTCGGCCATATGAAAATCCAGAAACCTTCAGTAATGTCTTGGGATCGTCTACCTATTAAACAAGTACACATCCTCTGTACCAACAGACCTAACAGGGCTTTTCTGAGCACAAACTCTGCAGACAAGTAGGCTGTGCAGTTCAATGGAAAGAACCAGGTGGGCTCGGGTCAATCTTGACTCAAGGGCTTCATAGCTCAGCAATGGTGGACAGCTCAGTGCATTTCTGCCTATCTGTGCAATCCTGAGTCTGCAGACCAAGGCCACCGGCCACTGAGGAATTGCATGAAGTGAACCATGCAAGCACCAGAGCAGTGCAGACGGAGCACTGCAAGGGCATCAAGCAAGGCAGTTCAGTTCTCACCAGCATCACTGCTCTTCATGAGCCAGCAGTTCAAACAGCAACCTGAGCTACAAGTTCCAAACCACTCAACAAACTGCCCTAAGTCCAAACACTCTACAATAGCTGTGGTGAACTGTCTACTCTTTACAGGAAAGATTAGCTCACTGAGGACATACTAGTAACCAACTTTCTCAGGACATAGGTTGACCAAGTCACTGAGTTTCTGAGAGTAACCCATTCATTTATTCAGTCACTCAATCAACAAAAAAGTATTCAATGTTCCAACAGAGGCCAACCAGAATTACCTACCAGGAGCACGTCTTCACTGAATGCAGTATGAAAAACTGCACTCTGTGAGAAACAATCCAAAATGGCAACTTAAGAGATGGTCTTCTAAGTCTTTTCAAAGAAAAATGTTAACAGAATCACAAATTTCCAAATGTGTATGTTCTGAGCAGGTGAACATAAAGTCGTACATAAAGTCATATTAATACTCTACTATATACTGAAAAAGAACCCACAGCGCTTAGCTTTCAAATTAAATGAGATTTATTGATTGCATCTTCCCAAGAGTTACCAATGGTTAAGGTACAGCCCATAAAACATTCAGACAAGAACAGACCCCGGAGTATTTGGGGTCTGAAGACAGTTTGTGTCTTACAAAAATGTTTATATTTATACATACAAACACATAAAATAACAAATGCAGATCTATTTTTGTTGCTTTGGGGCTACTCAAAAGCTGTAGTGTTAAGTGTTTTGTCTCGAGGAATGAAACCATCGACTAGGAAAAAGAGCCACACTGGCTTGTTTCAGAAGACATCAAACCTGGCACTCACCAGGAAACAAAGCTATACAGATGGAGCTGCAAGACAAAGCACACCTGTGCAGTCAAGACGCTCAAGTGCTCCTCTCATAAGCACTGGGGCTACTTCAGCCACGTTATAACTAGCAGAGTAACTAGAAGCATGGTTTTAACTCACTGTTAACACTTCAGGTTAGCACTAAGCAGCATCAACATCAACCAAGAGAACCACTAAGATCCACAGTGAACCCATCTAGGCATGATTCAGCTGCACAGAAGTCCAAAAGCTTCAGTAACATCTAGGGATGTAATAAGTAACTCTACTTACTACTCATTTTCCACTTAAAAAGTGGGAGATCTGATCTCAGGGAAACCACTCTAAAAAAGCAAAGCAGCAGGAAGGCTTGGGGAAGTGTCTGGTCCTGTAGGAGCACTGCAGCCCATCTGTGAGGGTCCACTCATGCTTCTCAGAACAGGCATTCCTACTCACCCCTTCACTATACCCCTGTTGTTACCCTTCTTTATAACATGCTACCAGGGTAGGCTGCAATGGGGTATGTGTCTTAGAGTATCAAAGCCATAGTTTCCAGGATGGAGTGGCTCGAGCAGTAAGAATGCCTGACTAGCAGGCCCTGAGTTCAAAGCCCAGTGCCACCAAGGGAAAAAAAAAAAAAGTTGCAACTTCCAGTTATAATACTGGGCTAACCAACACAGCTACCATGCCAGCAGGTGGGAATGCCTTACATTCTACACACTAAATGTCAGCAGGGTACCTGTGATCCTAGCCACTTGGGAAGCAGACATTGGCAGGACCATGGTTAGTGGCCAGCCAAGACAAAAAGTCAATGGGATACCATCTCAACCAATAGCTGGGTACAGTGGCATGTGTGGTGGTTCCAGGCCTGGGGTGCGGGGGTCATGAGACCCCCTTCTCAAGGGAAAAAGGCTGGGTATGATGACCTGGGCCTGTCATCTTAGCTGCAGCAGGAAGCATAAAATAAAAGGAATGTGGTCCAAGCCAGCCTGGGTAAAAGCAAGACCCTATCTCCAAAATAACGAGAGCAAAAAGGCTGGCGGCATGGCTGAAGCGGTAGAGCACCCGCTAGCAAGAGCAAACACTGAATTCAAACCCCAGTACTGCCAAAAGAAAATGGCACAAAGGAACAGACAAAAATGAAGGAACACTAGTATTTTAGGAAATGTTTCTGGCTGGAAGAAGTGTATGTATTTACAAACAAGTTGCGCCCTGGTCAGAGAAATCATTTAATTATAGACTATGCAAAAAAATCCAAAGCCGAGAGACAAGGTAAAGAAAGGCTGAAAGGCAGAAAATGGGGAGGAAGATTCTAGAGGACTCAGTAGTGCCTGATTTTCTAGGCTTGCCTTTAACCTACACTCATCTGGACACCCAGGTAAGAGTTTGAGTTCTGGATAGCAGCTGGCTGGGAGGCTGAGGAGGTTCTGAAGAAGGTCCAGAGCAACAGGAAGGACAAAATGATAAGCACAGAAAAACAGAAACTAACCGTGAAGGTGGAGAGATGAGTGAGAGAGCCCCAAAGTTTCTACTCAACATAAAATTATAATTTTTTTTTTTTTTTTTGTGGTACTGGGGCTTAAACTCAGGGCCTACACCTTCAGCCACTCCACCAGCCCTTTTTTGTGAAGGGTTTTTTCAAAATAGGGTCTCATGAGTAATTTGCCTGGGGTTGGCTTTGAACCAAGATCCTCCTGATCTCTGCCTCCTGAGTATCTGGGATTACAGATACTCAGTCACTGGCGCCAGCTACATGAAATTATAATTTTAAAACTGTCAAACTTTCCAGCTCTTGAGGACAGCAGATGAACAGACCTTACCTTAACGATATCTAATCCTCCAACAAGCTCTCCTTTCACATACAGCTGAGGGTATGTTGGCCAGTTTGAGAATGTTTTCAGTCCCTGCCGCACCTAAGGAGACAAAGGAGCCATGAATTTCCCGCAGACGCTACGATTACAGCTAAAATAAAGGACAAAACAGAACACCCAGAACTTACTTCTTCATCCTCCAGTATGTCAAATGTTTCATATTCAATACTGCAAAAAGGAGAGGACATTTTAAATGAAAACTGTAAAGCCTATTTGGTGTTTTTAAAATAATCAAGAAAAGTAAAGCACTGCTGACAAAGTCTGCCACAGACCAATGGCAATGATTTTGATACCTGGTACTACATAGAGCAATCATTCCTAAGACAACAGATTATCTGTATTTTTCTCCAGACAATACTGGGTTAGACCAGGGCTTGACAAACTTCTTTTGAAAAACAACAAAAAGGGGCTATAAAAGCAACCACAAGCCAAGCACCAATAACTCCGGCCTGTAATCCTAATTATCTGGGAGGCCAGGATCAGGGATCATGGTTCAAAGCCAGCCTGGGCAAAATGTAAAAAGACCCCATGTCACCATGCTGGGTGCAGTGGCACGCATTTGTCATCCCAGCTATCTGGGAATCTGCGATTAGGAAGATCATGATTTCAGGCCAGGGTGGGCAAAAAAACTTCACGAGACACAACCTCAAACAGGAAAAAGCTAGATGCAACATAACATGCTCATCATCCCAGCAACAGTGGGAAGCATAAAACAGAAAGATCATGGTCTAGGCTGGCCTGGTCAAAAAACAAGACCCTATCTCGAAAATAACCAGAGCAAAAGGAGTTGGAGGAGAAGCTCAACCAGTGAGCACCTGCATAGCAAGTGCAAAGTCCTGAGTTCAAACTTCAGTCCCACCAAAAAGAAAAGACGGAAAACAATCCAGCCTCTGCCAGAAAGGACAGAGGTAAACAAGACAGCAGCCTTGAGGCCACAGTTACTATTAGATGACTATAGTCTCTATAATATGTTACAATAACTGCAAGATTTTTTTTTCCTTTTTCTCTCTCTAAAGTCACATTCAGTCTGTGCTGCTCAACTGATTACTTTCAATTCTACCCAAAAGTACTGAAATATTTTGAAGATCTGTAACCTCATAGGATAGGCTAATCTTCTTACAGCTATGATTAGAATAAAAATTTTAATTTAAAAAGAAGCAATCATGAATTAAGAGGAGAAAATAAACAGAAACATTTGAAAAACCCAACAGTACATGTACTAAATATCTCCAAGTAAGAGGTTTTGTTTTTAACCACAAAAAAAAAAAAAAAAAAAAAAATCAATGGCAGTGTTCTTACCAGGCAAGCTGGTCACCAGCAGGTCAAATGCAGGAGCACTGCTATTTAAATGGACTTGGTAATGCACCTTAAGGTATGCCTGTCAGCTTCATGGACCGTTTAGACTGTTCAGACTGTATATAGCTCCTCTCTATCTACAGTATCTTTATACTTGGTGAGAACGCTGGCCATAAAATTGTATTCTGGTCTAAGTTAAAGCATTTATTACAAAACATCAAAGCAAAAACAGATGTAAAATATATGAATAGATTGAGACACAAAGTGAAAAGCATCAGTGGCAGAACTGAAAAGCTGGAACATTTCAAATACATTATTTGAAAGCAATTCACATACCCAGTACCATTCAGTATTTCCAGAATTTGTTTACTGAATCCACATTTTGCTTCCTAAATTTAAAAAGACAACAATTAGATTTTCTTTGTATGTCCCAACTAGCATGGTTGTAGCTAATGCTTTGTCAACGGACAGAGCACCTGCCCAATGTTGTTGCCAGTAGGCTCACTCAGTCCCTGGTGCCTCGTCCCATCTTTTCAACAAGCACTGACACACGGAGACATTATCCCAGACACATAACCCACAGATTTGCTTTAGTATGTAACTTCTTAAGATGACAAACATCTAGACACTGGTGGCTCATGTCTGTAATCCTAGCTACTCAGGAGGCAGAGATTGGGGGATCCAGGTCCAAAGCCAGCCCTGAGGCCCTGCGTTCAAACCTCAGTGCCGCAAAAAGAAACCTCTAGCCACTAATCATCTTTGTGGTCAAAAGTTCTTCTAAGTCAAACCTACATTTTCCAGCAAGATTTACTTTTGTTCCTTATTTTAATTCATACAAAATGATATTAACTCCATCTTTTTGCAATAGTTAAGAGTGCAAAAGTTAGAATCATTTTTATGTTCCTAACAGGACTCTTATTCCTACTTTTTAAGTTATCTTTGCATTAGAGGGCACAGAACTTTGAGGTTATGAAAATCTTACATTTTTCATGCTACAGAACCCCCAAATCCTAGCAACCTTGTAGAAAAGGTTAAGACCACATAAACATTTTAAAAGCTTCAATAATACTCTTTCCAAAATGTACTAATTCTTTCTGGGCTTCCAGATAAAACAAATGTTGAGAATAAAAATACACTTTAAACAATCATAAAGGGAAAAAACATCACTTTATTATTAGGGGGAATTATTAACTTCCTCTATGTTTAATAAACAGAGAAAGTCAAAGAATCTAGGTCCTAACAAGTGATTAGGACTTAAACACACTTAAACTTATGTTGACATTTCCTATACTAGTTACACAAAATAGCTAGTTCTGTCACCTTATGAGCCTCATTACATTGGTAATACTAACTTCAGCACTATGGAACCTTATTCTCAAAACGGCTCCGTGAAGCATTACTCCATTTACAAAGGGCAAGATCAAGCTCTCGGTGACTCAGTCACCTGGCCAAGGCATCTTTGTCTAATGTGGGGCAATATCCTCATTCCATCAACCTTACCTCTCTGAGCATTAGTTTCCTTATCTTGAAAATAGTTCAAATACTCTCCAGCTTTCCCTGCCTGAACAACTGCCAGAGAATTAAGTAAAGTTAACAGAGATTTGATTGCTATGAAAGTGGAAAAGTACAATATAAATGAAAAGGCTAGTTTTGGGAAACCAACCATCTAATCCCAGTCCAAAGATAATTAGTTTTGCTCAAACTACAAGTGAAAAGGATCTATCAAACTTGATATTCAAAATGATGCAAAATCAAAATGTACTTTCATCACAAAACTACAAGAATCATCCCATTACATATAAGCCATGCTGGTGGCTTACGCCTGTAATCCTAGCTATTGGGAGGGTAAGACTGGGTGAACAGCGGTTTGAGGACAGCCCAGGCAAATAGTTTAAGAGACTCACTCCCATCTCCAAAATAACCAGAGCAAAATGGACTGGAGGTGTGGCTCAAGTGGTAGGGCACCTGCTTTGCAAGTGTGAAGCCCTAAGTTCAAACCCCAGTGTCACCAAAAAAAAAAAAAAAAAAATTACTGTCAGTTTTCCGCATTCATCAAACACATACAGCAGAGCATACACACAGTGCCTATGGTTTATTAACCATTGTGGACACTTCTATTGGGATAATCTAGGGGCAAGGACCTGTGTCCTACCAGGTTCCCAACACTCGGGAGGTACTCCATCACAGTTCCTACGCTCAAAGGGTAATATGAAATAGCAACTAAGAGAAACATCAAAGTGTTAACAGTGTTGACCATGTTAGCTGACAAAGTTTGGCAACAGAAGGAAATGTACCCTGCTGAGATGTTGATAATAAAGTCAAGCAAAATGTAGATTACTTTGTTTGATCTTATAAGCACCAATTAAGGCCTGGATAACTTCCTGATGCCACTACAGCTTCATTAGCTTAAAGCAAGGAAAAAAAGATTTAACTGCCCCCTTGTTGCAGATGTTAACATCAAAAGAAATTACAAATAAAACCATTTTTGAGTTTTTTACCTGTTTGTTTCCTTTCATAAAGAGCATCACAGAAGCTTTATTTGTCAGCACTTTGAGCCTGAAGAGAGAAAATTGATATAAAATGGCTCAGCTCAATTATTAAACACCACTTTTGCTCTGCTTCCTGAATAGCATGCATATTTGAGGGATAGCAGGATGATAGTTCACAGTTTTGAGTGGTATTAAACAAGCAAATGCATTGACATTTTCCTTTATTTCATTCTCTCCCTAAGCCACTGTAAAACACAATATGGCTTTTAAGGCGACGAATGTTCCTTCAAGTTGCAATTTAAGCCCATCAACTCACAGTACTAAAAAAAATAATAATAACCAATTCAGTAAGGAATTGTTCAATAGGGGGCCTATATATCTAGCCCATCCAGAATTTCCTGAGCTAGATCTGTGAGCTCCCTTTCCCATCAATGCTGCACAAGGCTCTTCATTCCTAATACTCACAAGGGCGGGCCTGGAGGGTGGAAGTGTTAAATCTTAAGACCGTCAACTAAAGCTAGCTGCTAAAATCAAATGTTCCCATTTTAACTTTATACTTAATATTTTATAACACCTGCCAAACACCATAATCTGACTTTCTATCAGGAATTTTAATCATCTGCATTTGACCCAAAGTTTAGCCACAAATCTCAGGAAAAGTCAGGGTGGGGACAACAGGCCACATACCACGTTCTCCAAATTTCCTTACAGAACAAAGTGGTGACAGATGAGATGCACAGATCATACCCAGCTACACTCACACTTCCAGGAGAGGACGCTCAGCTCCTTCTCAGAAACATGATGCTAGCCCAGATCACACACCCAGCAACCCAACTAACTACCCAGGTCCAGGCCACTTGGTACTGTTAAAATTACACATTCCACGCCCACAAACTTTAAGTTACTACTCAAAATACACTGAACTTTGCTTTCCATGCAATCCTAGTCAGATTACCTTTCAGACTGTGAAGAGCACAGGAGATTTTGAAGCAGCGCATTAGGGGAACAGGTGTGATGGAGCAAGGAAATAAACGGCAATGGGAAAGAGGTTCGAGAGCGGAGGGACACACTGAGCAGCAAAACTAGGGACACGAAAGGCACAGCTGTCCTTGGAGGCCACACTATCTCTATGAGCCAAGGACATCAGCAGGTAAGGAAGAACACAAGGAGCCCAAAACGGAGCATCATTTTCTCATTAAAAAGGCAGAAAAGAGTGCAAACCAGTACCTTACAAATTCAAGCCCCAGTGATGAATGGCTGAGATGTATTTCAGAATTTCTTTTGTAAACCTCTCTACATTAAGTCATATTTATTACAATGAAAGTCCCAAGTTTCCTGGATGCCTAAGTCCAAGATTCATGTAAGATGACCTCTCCTACAGCGGACTGAGATCCCTCATAAAAGAAGTGAGACTGACAGATTGTACAGCTCCAAAATCTGCTTGAATCTTAAGTTAGTACGGTCTGGAAAGGCATTAAGCAGTACTCAGCCTGCTGGAAAGTGTAACAAGTACGTAAGATTAGCTTTCCACAATGCTTTTCACACTGGACATCTGTCACACTCAGGACTCTAAGGCTGGCATCAAGGCTGTGTCCATGGAAACTCATGTGTACTACTTGTGCCAAAACAAGACCCTGGTTCCTAAATCCAGACAGGGAAGCAAAACATGTTTGATCCACTGCTGACATTTCTACAACAGAAGTGATGTCCTCCACACAATCATTAAATTGGTGCTAAAATTTCTCCAGTCCAAATTGGAACTTCCCAAATTTACACTAGATTGACCACAAATGATAGTAAGACCCCTGGACATGCAAACATCAAATCCTTAATTTCTAACTAGAAAGAGCAATGCAAAAACAGGATTTAAAAATATTTTTTTAAGATCAGTGGTTCACACTATAATCCCAACTTAATCCCAACTTCTCGGGAGGCAAAGCTCAGGAGGATTGTGGTCTGAAGTCAGCGCCTAGCAAAAAACAAAAAAAAAAAATGTAAAGAGTCCCTACCTGAAAAATAACTGAAACACAGAAAGGGACTGGGGCTCAAGAGCAGAGTGCCTACCTAGCAAGCACAAGGCTGTGAGTTCAAACCCCAGTACCAAGCAGATGGAGTAGCTCAAGTAGGAAAGCACCTGCCTGGCAAGCATTGAGACCCGGAGCTCAAACACCAATACCACCAAAAAAGAAAAAAAAAAGTACTGCCATATAAATGGTACACTGTTGGAAACTTCTTGAACACTTACCTTTCCTCTAATTTGGGAGCTTTGGGGCAAATTGTATCTAGTTCTTCAGATGCTTCCAGTTCCTGAAATAAGCATACATGTGAGTTTAAGAAACACTTATTTTATTAGAAATCACCTTGATCATCCCATAATGTAGAATACTATTCAATCACCTAACCCAAAACACTGTTTTTATTCCAGGTTCATATTAGTAAATGTAGTGATTTGTAAGAAATGTGTATTTTAGATTTATGCCAATTTTTAAAAACAGGCTTTAAATGGATTTCTTTAGAAGGTAAACACTGCCCAATTCTCACCTTAATTATATCAAGTCCTCCTACGAGCTCTCCAGAAACATAGAGCTGAGGGTAGGTGGGCCAGTTGGAATAGGTTTTGAGCCCCTGCCGAACTTCTTCATCTGAGAAGATATCGAAACTGCTAAACTGAATGTTATGTTTGTGAAGAATCTCCACCATCTGCTTGCTGAAGCCTGCATACAGAACAAGAACATGAAGAACTTAGCATCCCTCAAAAACAATGACAAATTAATTCAGAGCACATATTATCTAATGGACATAGATGCCTGCTTCTATTCTGTCAGTGACTTAATTAGCGCGGTTGAATAGTCTGTGAAAAGAAAATAAAGTCTAAGAAACTCTTATTGGGCCTTGCATCACACGTGTTCAGATACAACTTAGCGTATCTTTTAACGTAATTATGAGTCAAAAAAGAATGGTGTGTATGTACACGCATGCGTATGTGTGCATATGTGTGCATTTGTCAGATTGCTCTTCACTATTACTAACCTTTTTTTGTGGAAGGAAAAGAAAGACAAACAGCATTGGCTAAAAGCAGAGCCCTAAGCCCTGGCACCTGCTCCAGGCATCCACCAGCAGACACAGGTGAGGTCCTGGATAGCCACTTCCCCAGCTTCCTCCCAATCAGGGCACTGACCTGGTTGCCCTGCACAGCCCCTCCTGGGTCTCCTGTGTTAGGTATCTAAGAGAGTCCACCCAGAGTTGTCTGGGTGGAGGAAAACACTTAACAACAGTTATTTTAATCACTACCTCACTGTCTCTACGTAGGACGCATCAGAGGTCAGGACTGTGTTCTCTTCCAGTCCACAACAGGTATAGCACATTGAATTTCAAAGCTATCTTCTCTGTTATTATGTGTCAACTGCCAACAGACTGACGCTTCTTTCTCATCTTATGTCATAACTTGACAGTTTCTTTCCTAAAACTATTTACATTCCCTAAAGTACGAAATGTGATTTTTTTTTTACTACACTATAGTGACAACTTTATGTTCCATGATTTTATTATACTTATGACACATTTTTGCTCTGTACTTTTTTGACATCATCTTATTATGACATTAGTACTGAAGAATAAGAGTGTGAATATCAGTCTCTTATAAACCTATTAGTCCAGTATGAAAAAAGGATATTTTTCTTTCCCTAAGCTAATTCTTACCAATAATTTTTCTAATAGTTTAAACTGCCACACTCTTTCATACTTCATCATTCTTCTTTTCAAGCAGACTTATAATTCATTAGAAAATATTCTTCAGATTCAAAATTCCTTTAAGACTTAACAGCATCAGAAATTATCTTTAAATAAAATCATAAAACTGAGCATAATGCTAGTCATGGCTCAAGCGGTAGACAGCCTGCCTGCCAAGTACAAAGCCCTAAGTTCAAACCCCAGTACTGCCAAAGGGAAAAAAGAAGATTTACAAAACTGAATGTAAGATTAACTGTGACAGGCTTTACCTGATGTCCCTCGAAAGCACATTTAGCATTCACTACTAAAACATGTATCTACAACCCAGCTCCAAACACATTTCAGATCTGCAGTCTGTGGAAACGAAGCACTAGTATTTATTTGTACAATATGTAAGTTGCTTTTCCTATAACTAAAGTGTTAAGTTCATGTACAGCCTAAAGTAAAACACTGATTTTGAAATTTTTCATTCATCTGGGAGTTCATTAGTAAACAGCTAACGGCTGATTGCTGATGGTTATTCTGCTGCCAATACAGTAACTCATTTCTACTATAACTGGCTGAGAAAAGGCTTTAGTTTAGCTTTAGGCAATTACATGCAGACTAGAAAGATTGATTGGTAGTGTTTCATTTTTAAGGGTTAAAGTGGCAGACTGGAAATGTTATGCTTAAGGATAAAGTAGTAAGAAGGCCTTATTACATTAAAAAAAATACACAAGTTTGAAGAAAAATGCATGTATCCAGTGAAAATATTTAAAAACAGAAAAATCATACTTAGCTTTCACAGAATCCCATTTCATCTGAAGTCACTTCCAGTCATGATATGAGTAGCAAGTCTAACTGCCACATGTAATAACTCTCTAATAATGAACCCTATGAATACTTCTGCACTTGATATGTGTTTGCATCTAAACCCAAGATAGATGACTCTCCACAAGAGAAATTTGTGGTCAAACGCCTCTGCTTTGCTACAAGCTTTAACTGCAATACTTATAAGAATTCCGCAATAATTTAATTAACCTGCTTGAGGACTTAACATCCTGTTTAGAAACACAGACATCTCAGTGTTTCTAGAAACTCTTCCCCAAACATAAGTGCCCTCTCTTCTCCTATCCTCTCAAGAAGCACAGAAAATACATATCTTTGATGACTGAGACCCTCAACATGTCAGGCTCTTAACATACCATATGATTCTGCAGGCAAAAACCCAAAAGCAGAGGGTAAAAAGGAAAAGCTAAGGCCTGTGCAGGTTCCACACAGGCTGGAAAATTACTTTCCTGGATATGAACTTTAAATGTTTTTCATTCATGTTTTTCTGACTAACAGAAAGCAAGATGGGAGCCAGCATTTCAGAAACCAAGCACAGATGTATTCCTGAAAAGGTGTCCAAAGAATGCAAAGCATGCAACTAGCAGTAGTGCTTTCAAAGTGAACTCTGCAACGTGAGTAGAGTAGCCACTTGAATTCTCAAGATAAAATGACCTTCACTTTTATAAAAGGGGGCTTTACCCACATGCTTCTCTGAAGTGCCAACAGAGAAATACAAATGATTCTCTGCTAAACAGCCTCAGAAAGAAATGGCAGAGGGTGAACAGCACTGATGTTTCCAGAAGAAAGCAGCTTAACAGCGAAGAATTTGTGTAGAAGTGCACACAGAAAGGGAAAACAGACTCAGAGCAACACCAAAAAGAAAGTAGCAAGGCAGTGGTAAGGAAAATGCTTTCCTAAGTATACACTTTAAGGTATCAACACCCTAAAATGATCTATTTAACTCTATGTGCTAAGTAGGAAGACATGTAACAGAAATATTAGGAAACAGAAGTTCATTAAAAATGCAATTATAAAAGGTATAAAAAATAAGATAAGTACCTGAAAAGAAAAAACTATACTGTTAAATCACATGAATCTGAAAATCTTTTTAGTTCCCTAATTACTTATTATGTAAATATTTACAATAACTTGTTTCTAAGTTGCTCTGAAATGTCTAAAAGTTCTTTTCTTATTCTTATTTGGACAGACTAAACATCACTCAGAGAATTAATGTAAAAATGGCAAAAAAAAAATAAAAATACATATAGATAGATATAGAGATATAAATAACAAATGGCTGGGGTCACAGCTCATGTGGTAGAGTGCTCGTCTAGCAACACAAGGCCCTGCTTCAATCCCCAGTATCCCAAAATTCAGTTTGACAAACTTTTAGAAAAACGACTATGTCTACATTTTCCACTAATTTGAATAATCACACAACATCAGCCCTGAAAAGGATCCAACTTAACACTCCCAGGAGAGAACTGAAATTTCACAGGGAAGTACCTTGACCCAGTTACTAAACAGGGGCCAGCCACAGTGGCAATGTTAAATTGACACTCACCAGGTGACATCTTGTCTACCTCACTTCCCAGAAAGCTCTCCCCTCCTTTGCTGCCTGAGCAAGATTTCCTCACGCTTCAGTTTTCTCATCTGCCAATGTCACTGGTATTAGAGATTAGAAGGAATGCTACGATTGGATATCAGAGAACAATGCAATGGGCAGAGTCTGGTTTGCCTCAGATCACCTGTCATACAGGTTTCCCCATGTTGTATAGCCAGTTCTACTGCACTTCAGATTGGAGTGAAGGCACTGAGTATCATCCATTAGATGATATAGGAAATATGATTTTCATGCCTAACAGGAAAAGGTAAACGTGAAACACTTGCAGCCCCATTAAAAACAAAGTGACAATCTCCTTCTACCTTTCCTTAACTCTAGGACAGACCAAATAGGCTTTGTAATACCTGAGTAACAAGCATTATCTGACATGGAAGATACTGACCAGGACATTTTTCAGGCAGAACTAAGAAATAAAGGAATCATTTCTTCATCTTTTAAGATCAAATTTATCATGAAACTTTATTGTTAAAGAGTAGATTGTTTCATAACTTAATGTGTAACTTGAAAAATCACATAGGGAAGACTTTAGAATTAAATTTATATTGGAAGCTTGGCTATTTTTATAAAGTCACACTGGACATGTAGTAATCATATCAACAGCATACTCAATTTTATTGCCATCTACCTTAATAAATTCCCTTCTGTGCAGTTGAAACAAATACTCTTACAGTCTCAACAGAATCATCAAAAGGCAGTAAGTGCTCAGTTATGCAGCATAATAATGCCCTAGTAGGCACAGTAAAAAGAAAACAACACAAATGCAATACCAAAGGGGTCAAGTAACTCTAAAATTTACTTAAGGATAAAATTACAAGCATCTATGTGTACAAAAAAATAAGGGTGACTCTAAGTCAAGAATTAGGAGTCTTTAAGTTACTAGCAGTTAGCAACTGGAAATGACAGCAGCGGGTGAATAACATAATCATTACACACTGACAACAGGGAAGGCAAGAGTATATAGGACAGGCACAGAAACACTGCAACAACTCTGCAAATGTTTTAATTACTAAATTTCAACAAAGAAAAGGAAGCTGTCAAGAAAGGAAAGACCATGAAAGGAAAGAACTACATAGTCAAAAAGCCTATTATCAGAGACAGCAATATGGTAACTGGAACCTAATCCCACCTCTGCTACCAGATGACCTTGGCAAGTTACCTTCGTCTGAATACTTATGTCTAAAATAAAGATCCTGAATTAGGTGATTTGTCAGGACCCCTTTGGTTCCAAGCTTCTGAGTACATAATGCAAACTAACTCTTCTCACCTACATATACGATTGCACTGGGAATTATACCGTTTTCTTTCTACAGGCATGTGAACACAAGCTGGATGTGAACACAAGCTGGATGGCAGCTTAAATGGCAGGTACCTCAATTGCACCCAAACCTGGGATAGAGTACCCTTCTGTTTCCATCATCTCAAGAGTAGCTTACCACAGCGTGGTTCTTGAGGAGTTCCTTTCATGAACAGCATGCATGGGGCAGCGTGAGTTAACTTCTTCAGGCGAAGACTAAGGTCCTCTTTGAGGTGCTCGTCAGCACTGGGTGGGAAGCAGCCACTAGATGCATGGCGCTCAACTTTTTTGGTCAACTCTGGGGCGTGTGCGCCATCCAATCGGTCGATTTTCTGAGAATTCTAAAGTTTGAAATGTCATTTAGAATACATGTGGCATGCCTTCATCACCTCTATACTTTACACTCTAAAATTTTAACAAGTAAATAGTTATGGCCAATTTTTGAAAGAGTCAGTATTTATTGGAGAAGTGAAAATAAAAAATCTTGTTACCAACCACACTACATCTCATTTTAGAAATACAATTATTTTCTTTTTTTTTCTCGAGATTACATTTAAAAAACACTGCAACATCTCAAAGTAAAACTAGATCAGAGTCTAACCTAAAACAAAAAGGGTTTCCCCCACACCAGCTGGGATAAATCTATTATTGAATATAAATGATTTAGAAAACTATGGGAACACCCATGGGTGCCCTGAAGCAGATCTGCACCCACTTCCAAAAAGAGTCATTAATCATACCAGAACCAGCCAGATGCTTCATAATGTACCAGCAAAACCCTAAACAACCAACTTGTGCTCCTACTCAGGGAGCACCAGGGCCTACAACCATGGGCCTGGACTTGGGCTAAGAAGCTCCAGTTCTGGCCCTCCACTGCTCGCATCAAGCAAGAAACATGCCCTCCTCCTCAGTATCATGTAAAACATGAGGCCATCATGAAAAAGCGCAAGGCCAGAACAACCCAGTGTCATGTTCAGGCCTTAGCAGAGAGTAAAGGAACCAAAACAAATACTCCCACAGCCCACCAGAGATGGATGATCTCCTTATCCTTACCTTGAAAAACACAAAGGTAGGAACAGAACTAATTTCATATTTTTCAGATACTTCAGGAACAGCTTCAGCTTCCAACTTTAAAATAAAAGAATTCAAGCTTGATTATTACAAGGTCCTTTTTTACTATTTCGATATGTAAATTAGTTTCACATGCATTATCCCTTCAAGTAGCTGGCGTTTTTAAAAGAGTATGGTACAAAAGTTTATGACGCATTTACATTTAAATGAGACTCACTGGGCTGGCATGTCATCCACGGAGTCTGAGTGTCAAAACAGGTTCAGAGGTTTTTATTTTGTTGCACATTTCAAAAGATGCCTGGAGGCTGTGAATAAAATTTTTGGTGCACTAGTGACCTAGTAAATTTTCAATCATATGCAGCTACTACTATATTGAAATCCATAAATCACTGACCCCAGTTATGTCATGATTACAGTGCTTATTTTCTGCCCACAGCAATTCTTGCTGTTTGCTCTATTGACTAATTTCAAGAGGCAGTACATCATGACTGACAGTTGCAGCCTTCTGCAAATTATGAAGCAAAAAGGAGTATTTCTTCAATAAACTATTGATGTCTGATAAATTTTACTTTTAACTCCTGCAAGGCTGCTGGACACTAAGCAACTGTCTTACTAGATTACTTGCTTTCAGGTCTATTCAAACATGTAAATTCAAGTAAGATGACTGCACTCTGTCTGAGTGCCCCCTCAAGACCCCTCAGTAAAGTATGATATAATATCTGACAATTGGATTTGAAAAATATTTAGAAACACAACTTCTAAATAATTAGAGCACAATTACTATAAGCTATTTATGTAGGTCTTTATAAGCAATATACTTTGGGAAAAACCAAGATATATTTTTCTCTCACAGGACTGTCAACTTAATATAGACCGTTTGAAACCAATAAAAATCTGTATTCACATTATACCTATAGGAAATAAAATTTATTGATAAATTATATTGTTAAAAGCGTTTAAAACATATATACTGAATTTCTCCAAGAATGAAAGATTTCCACTGGGCTTAAAATGCGATTCTTATCTACAGCTTTACCCAGTCAGGCTATATCTGTCGGAATGAAGCCTGACGATACAGTGGGAGGTAGTCATTTGTCTTTGGTTTGTATCTTCCATCTTGTGTATTCTTAGGTGCCACTCTTTACCACCTCAATTTTTTTTTCTTTAGAGCACCCTTTTGTAACAATATTTTTAATTATTTCCATTTTTTAAAATGTATTTGTATGAAAATTATTTAAACCTTAAATTAATATCAACTGTTTAGTAATCTGAAAAAGGGGTAAAAAGACAAAGCATTCTAAGACATTTAGAACAGACTAAAGTTTCAGAAACGCTATTTTCTTCATATATACAATCCTGCACTCAGAAAAAAGATGACCATACAACTGGGCAAAGGCATGCCCACAATGTCACCCTCCAGTTGATTACTTTCTTCTTTCAGCTAACATCCCGAGTGCCCACTCTAAGCTGGGAACTGTGCTAATGTTCAGTAATGATCTCTACCTTTAGTGCTATTGGATTCGGATAGAAAAGTAATACAAATCTAAAAGCAGGTAACACTAAATAGAAACAAAGTAACTTGATCTTAAATCAGAACAAAACAGTATCCTAACTCACACAGACCAATTCCTGTATGGTTTTAAAATCTGATCTCTTCTCATATCCTGCTGTTTCCAGTAGGGGTCCTCACTGCCAATTCTTCTCAGAAGCAAAGGACTCCTCCAATTCCTGCCGAAGACAAGAGGATCACCACAGGTGCCTCCTCTAAAATCAGTGCCCAGACTCAAGTCTTGAGACAAAGGCAGTGGTAACAAACCTCCAGAAAAAAAGGGCAGTAGTTCCACACATAACAGTTCTCCAAAACATCAAGAACATCTGAAGCCCTAAACTCTTTGCAGAGGTGGGGGTGTGGCTTAATGGTAGAGCACTTGTCTATCATGCATGGCATGAAGCCCTGGGTTCAATTCCCAGCAGCGCACCAAAACAAAACAAAACAAAAAACTTTGCAGCGCTACAATCCTTTGTAAATACTGGATCTAACACAACATAACTTTTTTAGCAGTGGAAATAGGTATTTTTCAATGATCTTGCATTCAGAAGTGCTCAAAGGTGGTTAACAATAGCTATCTTTCATGGATGGCCTATTCCAAACTATGACAGGCCCTTTTGAAAATTACTTAACAGTTAATCTTAGGCATCAACTTGACTATACCCAGATAACTGGTAAAACATTATTTGTGGACATATCTGCAAGGGTGTGTCTGGAAGAGATGCATTTGAATCCATGGACTGAGTAAGGAAGGTCCACCAGTCCTCAGGAACGTGGGTAAACACCACCCAGTAGGTTGAGGCCCAGAACAGAACAAAAAGGCAAAGGAAAGGTGAATTCACTATCTCTTCTGAAGCTGGGACACCTGTCTCCACCTATCCTTGGAATGAGAACTCCAGATTCTCAGGCCTTCATACTCTAGTATTCCAGCACACTCCCTTCTCCTCCCCTTCGCTGGCTTTTGGCCTGAGACTGAAAGCCACACACACCATCAGCAACTTGGTTCTCAGGCCTATGGACTTGTACCAGCTTCCCTGCTTCCTCTAGCTTGCAGAAGGCAGACGGAGGGGCTTCTTGGCCTCCATATTCAGGTGATCCAATTCCCACAGGAAATCCCCTTTCATCTATCTGTATCTCCGTATATATCCCACTGGCTATTTCTCTAGAGAAACCTAACATGGGAAGTGATTAAGTAACATGTGTCCAGTAAGAGGTAGAGCTGAAAAACCAAGTTTGTTTCATTATAAAATCTGTTTGCACTATCCCACAGTTACCTCTAACTCTGGACCCTTCCCATGCAGCATGCCATGTTAGTCTATGACAAGGGGTGAGGCAGGGGAGACATAACGTAAATCCAGAGGTGGGGAATTCTCTCCATTCTACTTCAATCTAGCAGGGTTACCAAAGACTGGCATAACAGAAATGGCTCACAGCTGCAATTTACTCTAAGCCAGACACTGTTCCCAGTGTTTCATGTAGTGACTCATTTGATCCTCACAAAAGCAGGCAGCTTCATTACAGCCTTTTTATAGAGTGATTGTACAGATATTTAAAAATTTAGCTGTGTGAACTGTATCTTTAAGACAGCTGTCTATTTCACAACAATGATCAAATAACAGATCCTTATTTAAAAGGCAAAAAGTACAAATGTTAAGTATGTAACTCCTCCATACCCTTGACCCTTTATCTTAAATTTCAATAGCCGTAAGACACAAAAGTAGCTACTACACAGAGTTAAATCTAAATTAAACACAACAGTACAAAATCTCACAAGCGAACTGGCTGGTAAGTCTGACTTTAGGAATTTTTGGCCTAAAGTGCAATACATGGTTTTACCATGTATTAGAAAAACCTGAGAACCACAGAGAGAAAAGGGACAGACTTCTTTCAAAGTGATTTGTTCCTCAGATACACCCAACAGTATTCAACTTTTCCATCACTGACAAAAGCAAAAGCTTTGGCCTGTTCTTCCTCCTTCCCATTTCCTCAACCAGACATATCTTTCAGATATTCTGAAAGATTCTATCAAATAACTGATTCAATTTATCACTGCCAGGTATGGTAGGGCACATGTAAAATCCCAGCACTTGGGAAGATTTCAAGTTCCAGGTCAGTATGGGATAAAGAGTAAGACCCTGTCTCAAAAAACAAATCAAAACAAAATACATTCCCATTTTAGGTAAACTACTAACAAGTAGACAAGGTAATTTGAAAAGGCACTTGATTTTAATTCGCTATTTAACTTTATTATCAATAAACATAAGGTTTCTCTAAGACTTTTAGCAACAAAAATGACTCCAGTATCTCTTCTGTGCCCTTGGAGACAGTCTCCAGAAGGTCCCAAGCCTCAAGACTCAACCAGCTACGGCAGCATTTCAGAAAGGTGTGGCGCATCCAACAACTGCAGATGCAGCACCCAGAGAAGCATCAGTGCACTTTACAGCCACATCACTAAGACAGGGACAAGTGACACAACACCAATGCTATAAATGTGTGAAAACCTTGTCTTTCAGCATTTAATCCCAAAGAGAACTAGCTACTCTAGCCAGAAATATCTAACTTTTCTAAATTGGTACTTTATCACCTCCTACAAATTAAAACATTACATTCTACTTAAATATCTCACTTAAGCTATGTCCCGGTGGCTCACACCTGTAATCTTAGCTACTCAGGAGGCAGAGATCAGGAGGATTGCAGTTCGAAGCCATCCAGGGCAAATATTTCACAAGAACTTATCTTAAAAAAAACCCATCACACAAACAAAAAGAGCTGGTGGAGTGGCTCAAGGGGTAGGCCCTGAGTTCAAATCCCAGTACCAAAAAAAAAAAAACCCACCTTGCCAAAGAGCACTTATTTGACTTTGCAAATCTTAGTCACAAAAGTAAGACTAATCCCTTTATTTCACAAGTCAAAAATGCCAAACTATTGCACCATTAAAAAAAAAAAAAAAAAAGAGACATCAATTTAAAAGACACAGATAGGGAAGCTGGGGTACACTGGCAGAGGCCTATAGTCCCAGGTACTCAGAAGGCTGAGGCAGGAAGATTCCTTGAGCCCAAGAATTCAAGACCAACCTAGGCAACATAGTGATTTTGAAGACAAACATAGGGTAGCAGAGTATTAGCCTCACTCTGGAAATTTCCAGAAGCCTTCATTAACAAAGAATGCTGTTTTAAAATGAACTGCATGGCTCTTACTGAAAAAGGCCAATTATTTCTCAAATATTTATTCCTCATTTGCTCACTACAGTTCAGCAAGTGCCTTTTAATTACCTAACTTTACTCCATGAAAATTATCTTTGCCTTAATGATGTCTAGTGAAAGCCATGGAGTACAGTCTGAAAAATGATGACTTCTGGAACAACCACCAATCCAGCACTGCTGTCATCCCTGGGAGTGGCAGGTGCAGTCAGGCTCAAGTATCCCCCACAACCACACAGCACTGAGGGTGCCAACCCTTGGCTCACTGAGACACTTAAACTGAACAACTTAAAATCTCACTGTCAACTCAGTACCAATGTGAGAAGTAATTCTAGTCACTTTAAATAAATCATTCAGATGGCAGCTAAGAACTCTGTTACCTAAACCAGTAATACTATCCACATAAAAGCAGACTTTGAACAATTACCATCATCTTGATTAATCTTATGATTGAAATGTTTAATCATTCATTTCACTTGTAGTCATTATCTTTTATCACTGACCAAACATGCAGTTTTAATGTCCCCTTCTATTATTTATATTGGACATTTTAGGGTTACATTCTAAGGCTACATTACACATTTCATTGTAATTTTAAATAAGCCCTTAAATTTTAAAAAGCTAACTATTACATTCATATCTGCTCTATCTACATAAAGAAACACTGGGAGGATTCATACAAAATTAATACAAGCGGTTACTTCTGGAGAGGGGCTCTAGAGTTGACAGGGATGGAGTGAAGTGAGCCTTCTCAACATATACCTCTCCACACTGTAAGAGGGGTTTTGAGCCACTGGAGTACAATACTCATTCAAAGCAAACATCTATACAGAAACTGCTGGACAGCTGTATCACCTACTATACAAATGAATTAGTCCCCTTCTATTATTCTATATTCTATATTTCTACTTTATATATAAGTATATAAAATACATATTTACATATATTTTATATATAAATATGTATCTATATTCTATGTTTTTAATTCCTTACATGGGTTCAGTTGCCCATGCACTCTGGTTTTAAAAACCAAGGCTTTTGGGCCAGGCAAGATGGTACACACCTTTAATCCCAGCATCAGGAAGCTTGGGGAAGACCCATGAGTTCAACCTGGGTTACACAGAGAGACCCTGTCTCAAATAAAATTAAAGTTTTAAAAAAGTACTTAAAAGGTTTTGGCTTTTAGTTTTAAATCTTAATGATTCAGATTTTTAATAGAGTATACCTCCCTTCCCAATAACTAACTCTCAACTCATATTTTATCTTTACTGCCTAATCCAGTACTAAGTCTTGAATGATGACACTGAATATGTTAAACCAAGAGTTAACCCATAGTGACGACTATCACTTTCCCAGTATTGATCTACTCAAGAGAGATACCAGAGATACCAGCATGCAAAACCCAAGTAAAAAAACCAACGATGGGACTGGGTGGGGGTAGACTCAGTGACATGCATAAAACTCTGGATTCAATCCCCAGCCAAAAGGAAAAAAGAAAAAAAAAAAGACTGCCCTGCCTGACTTCCTTTTTCTTCTGCATCCTCAACAGGTTAGACTGTTCAGGTTCTCCCAGATTTGCACTTACCCAATCTAAGATAGCAACTTCTGTCTGTTCTCCTGTTCCTAGCAGCCAATACATGCCTCTCCTAGAACCATTTTCCACAGCACACCTAGCTTCTCAATGAAATGAGTCTTCTTAATATTCTAACTAACCTAAAGCCATAATCACCCATAGTAAATAATCTAGTCTGGTTTTGCTCGCAAACATTTCTGTCCTTTGCCTATTCTGTTATTTCTCATCTAAGAATATGTTAGGGAAAGTATGGTATTTTTATAGTACTTGAAAAATGTAAAATTAAAGTATCTTTAAGAACAATCTGCAAAAATAACAGATCTCAGCACCAGTTATAAATATCAAGAGTGCCACACTACCCCTCCTTTAGTTAATAAAATCTAGTCTAACTCATAAATCAGAAATTCATAAAAGACATAATACTGACAATACCTTCACAAATGACACTTGAGGGTGTTCTTTAGCTAACTCTGCCATTACATCATTCATCTGTGCACACTGTGGAGCCCATGGTGCCCAGAAATGGATCACAAGGAGGGACCTGTAAATCAATAAAACGCCATTTTTTAAAAATTATCATTAACTTCACAAATAAGCAAATACTGATATAAATTAAATTCTACTACCAACAAAACCTTTAAGGGAACTGCTGAATTGTTTTGTGCTGCTAGAATTTTTCTGCATTAGCATAAGAACACCTATCTGCAAGGTTTTGGACTCCTTTTAGATGAATTTTCAAGTTAATGACATTTCTCGAGTCAAGATTTGGCCCATGTAAAGTGGTTTTGAATATCCACCTATCTCAACCAACAGACATGCAAAATCAACTGTATTTTCAGACCCTTGAAGAAAGTGGAAATTGTATTTCTGTACTAGATGCACAATGCTTGTAGTTGTGTAGTTGTAGACGCACTATTACTACTACTGTCAGTATTTACTTTTTAAACAAGGTATTGTGACAGAGGGGCGTTAACAGTGATCATTGGAATAATGGTAAAACCGAGAGAGAGAGAGAGAGAGAGAGAGAGAGAGAGAGAGAGAGAGAGAGAGAGAGAGAGAGAAGGCATGCTAGCAGAAAGCAACAATGAAAACTACGTTTTACAAAGATATCCTTTTATACTTTTTATATTATGTCACAAATGATTCTCTATACATTTATAGTATGAAATAACAGTGGACTGAATTCTCAGGCATATCAAAGCACACCTAGCTTAATTATTTTCAAACAAAATTATCTTGGCAAATATAGGTATCTTTAAGTCTATTTCATATCAAACTGAAACTCATTCAGTTTTATAGAATTCTAAATTCAAATATAATCTCTCTCCAAAAAAACAAAAGGGTCTCACAGATATAAGGAAAAGAGTGGCAAGAAGGAATGAGGACCAGGCATCAGACTACAACAGGGAAGAATGCAAAAGGTGAGGAAGTAGAAACTGCCGGAAATCTACTTCAAGAAATTTGTGCTACACAGAGGAAAACAGGAGCAAGAGCTCAGCTTTACTTTAATATAAGGAAATCTCCAAATGCTTATTTTGTTCAATGGTGAAGGAAAGCTAAAGATCTGAAAGATAGCTAAGGACGCAAGACTTCCAAGGAGCAGGACAGAGGAATCTAGATCACAGAAGGGCAGGGCCCTGCATGTCAGGAGCCAAGGAATTAAGAAGGGTTAAGGCTACACATAAGAAGTTGGGAGGAGGGGATGTTAGGCAGCTGCTATTTGACAAAGCAAGGTCACCGGCTGACATAAAGAGAAATGGAGGACAGGGAGCACAGGGAGGACTGGTGAAGAGGGAGGCCAGGAGCAGGCAAAAGGCAAGTAGAAGGCTCCAACAGAAGGCCCACCTAAGACAAGTAGGAAAGGATGCTCCACAGAGCCCAAGTGGGTTACAGTCTGCATCCAGCAGACCTCAGCACCTTCTGAGGGTGAGCGCATGATCTCAGATCATGACTAATTGTTGTGTTTTATCAAGCAGTGCTCTCTATTCCCCCAGGCATTCAGCTAGACTACATTTTCTAGTCCTTGCAGTTGTCTGGGCCCCTGGAACTGAATTCTAGTCAGCAGAACACAGGCCTGACTCTCATGAGTCTCCCTCATGAGACTGCCAGTTCCAGCCCCACCCCTCAGCAACACACAGCATCCAGAGAAAGTTCGAAGGCCTAAGGGTGGCAAGAAGGAAAACAGAAGTCCACAAAGGCCTTGTGCAAAAATGAGCACAGCAGCTCTACACATAATAACCCAAATGCCCACAACTGGAAAACTTCACATACCCAACAATGAAATACAACTCAGCTATAGAAAGGAACCCACTACAGATACATGCGACATGGACGAATCTGGAAAACAAAGGAAGCTAAAGATGCCAGTCATAAAAGAGGAACTAGATGGGTGCAAAAAACAAATCCTCTTCTGCAACCCAAAAGACACTGTACAGTATGAATTTTGAAACATCTAAGAAGGAATGTTATGATACCTAAACAGTTTGAAGTGGTAGGAGTATTGGCAACCATAAAGCTTAGTTCTGGGACTGAAGAGATGATAATTAAAAAGTATAGGATGTGAGGAAAATCTCAGCTACATTGGTTATTAGTACTAAATTTTTCATGTTAATAAAATATATCAAGATGGCCTTTAAAAAAAAAAAAGAGGCTTGAAAGCATGTCTGGAGTTGACTGAATAGTCCACAGACCTGTGCTATTCTTGTGTGTGATAAGCCTAGGAGCAAACGCTATTTAACTCATTCATGTTTAGGGAGGGTGTCAGAAATTGAGAACAGAAAGTCCATCTACTCTAAAAATGACCCTAAAGTAAACTGCTTGAAGAAGTTAGATCCCAAAGACCCTAGGTGGGGAATTTTTAAATGGTCATCAGTGTGTCACCTGAATTGTGGAATTCAAGTGGAAATAAAAGTCACATATATAAACTGAGGCAAGATAAATCCTGACTCACGCTTTGGAGGGACTAAGGTGAACTTGCTGGATAGTGTAAGTTATCATAACATGTGAAATTCCTTAAATACATATGTATCGACAAGGAAGGAAGGGAAGGAGGGAGGACAAGAACAGTACGACTCTATTTACATAAAATAGAACATGAAAAACTATAGTGACAGAAAAGAGATCAGTGACTGGAGAAGGGCTAAAGACCTAGGATTCTATTTTCTTGTTTTGAACGGAGATTATTTGCATACAATTGTCAAAATGTGTAACAACAATCAAGATGTCTGTATTTTATTGTTGAACATAAGCAATACCTAAATTATTTAAAGCTGGGAGACCACTTCACCAAATTAAAAAAGGATTTTGAAAATATCCAACCATAAAAAGGATGGTGAAAGAAGCACTTTCATACCCTGCTGATAAAAAGTGAAACCTTTCAGAAATTTCATACATGTCTAGATGTCTATCCTAAAGAAGTAATTGAAAAGAAAAAGACTTGTGAATTTGGGTATCTTCTCATTACACAGCAAGTAACTGGAAAAATCTAACATTCAACAATATAGTTTTTTGGTTTTTTGCAAGTACTGGAGTCTGAACTCAGAACCTCAGGTTTGCTAGGCAGGCACTAGCAAACTACTATTTGAGCCTCTTTTGATATTGCATTATTTTTGAGATAGGGTCTGGGCTGGCCTTGAACCATGACTTCCTGATCTCTGGCTCCCAAGTAGCTAGGGATTACAACCAGCTTAGCAATAGCTTTTTAATGGTTGTAAACAAAATGGTAAAAGATTAATTTATTGGGCTGGGCACTAGTGGCCCACACCTGTAATCCTAGCAACTCAGGAGGCGGAGATCAGGAGGATCTCAGTTCGAAACCAGCCAGGAAAAATAGTTCTTGAGATCCTACTCCAAACACACACACACACACACACACACACACACACACACACACACACACACGAGGGGTAGGAATGGCTCAAGGTGTAGGTCCTGAGTTCAAAAAAAACCACAACCAAAAAAAAAAAGATCAAATTTTCAGGCTGGAAGCATGGTTCAAGTGGTTAGAGCACATGCCTTGCAATCACGAACCCCTGAGTTCAAACCCCAGCACCACCAAAAAATAACAAAAACAAAAACAAAAATCAAATTTGCAAAGAATTGTTAATCCTATGGGAAAATGTTCATAACATGACTACATTTTTTTAAAAACTAAAACAGGTGGCTTAGGGATACAGCTCAGTGGCAGAGTGTTTGGCTAGCACACATGAGGCCTTGAGTTCAATCTCCACAACAGAAAAAAAAAATTAAAATAGGTTCAGGCATTGTAACAACAGGAACCCAGATACAGAAAAAAGAAAAAAGGAAAGTATGCACAGGGAGCTTAAATTCATTTTGCTCCACTACCACTAACATGGCCTCGACGAATAATTTAACTTTTCTGAACTCCCAAAGCCATAAAGAGTAGTACCTAACATCCCGGGATGGTGGGGAGAATCAATCGGCAAGTGCTTCTAGAATGTCAGAACAGCTTCTTTATGTTTTAACTTATCGATCTTATTCTCCTATTCAGAAGTTTAAATTCCATTTTTCAGCTAAGTATATAATGACCAGTATTAAAAGGACATATACCTGAAATGAACATATCAACCTCTTTTGAATTCTATGTAACAGCAGTCTCTCCATCTTAATGGACAGCACAACATGCCTGGTGCATTATTTGATGAAAACATTTATAGAATGATCAGACTGAAATCTTCCTAATGCGACTTTAGACTATTAATGTACCTCAGTACTTCATAAGTAAACTTAGTGCCCGATAAACAATTGTTTTCTATTACAGTGTTCTGCTACTCCATTTATTCATCTGCAAATTATACTACCATTTACTAAACACTATCATATGCTAGAGTTTTAAGTATTTTACAAAGGGGCAAACTTCCTACTCAAAAAATTGGTATTAATATCCCCAGTGTATAGAGCAGCTGATGTGATGGTTCAGTAACGTGTGTGTGTGTGTATATATATATATATATATCTATATATCATTAAATGACTTAAGCAAAAAAAAAATTTCAATTGACATCAAAAGCAATGACTTGCAAAGAAAGCTCTATCATGATTACATCAGTGAGAGTATTATTTAATATTTTTAAGTGCTTCAACTTTCACAAAGCACAGCAGAGATCTATCTGTTCCTTCCCCAAATGTCATACATCACTTCCCATATGCCCACCGGGACTAGTCACTGTGGAAGGGTACGTTGTCTCTTGGGTCACCTCAAGCACAGACCAGTGGCAACAGTACATACAAGTGAAATTTACATTTAAACTTCTACCCATTAAGAACTGTTAAAAAACAGAAACCTACAAACTATATAAAACACACATACAAAAAACACTCCTCTCAGATGGTGCTGAGTTCAAACTTTTGTTAAGGGCAGATCCACACAAGTCCTGGTCTTTTCATGAGGCCATCTCCGGGATCCTACATAATTGTGCTGCCTGAAATGTTGGATGAATCAGAATGCAGCTTCCCCCTCCTTTAGTCCATTAGTTATCCCCCTCCTTCTTGTTTTTTCTTTTAGCAATTTCCCAGGTACACCTGAAAAGAGCTGGGGATTTAACTCAGGGCCTCAGGCACGCTAAACACAGCTTCACAAGGAGCTACAACCCCCGGCCACCAAAGGAGCTGTATCAATTAACACTTTAAGACCTCTACAAGGCTTATCAGAAGCCACTAAGTAACTCTTCGCAACTCCCCCACCCCCACTCCCTACCCCTCACAGCTCCGCACTAAATATTTACCAAGGGCCCACATTTATTGAGCGCTTCCTACACACATGCACTGCAGCCTCATCTCACTGCATCCTCCCCACCACTCCGAAGCAGGGCTGAGGGTGGGTTAGGAAACTTGCCCTAAGATTACAAGCTTGCAGGCGGCACAGCTGAGGCCCAGACCCCAGTTGTGGGGCCTTAGCCACCAAGTGCACAGCTTAGAGAACCCGGGGGAGTCCTAAGGGAGCTCTCCAACTTGAAGTAGTTACCACCGCGCGCTCACGTGCGCACCCGCACGGATTCTCTCCCACACACTCACCTAAGAGCTAGGGGCTCCTCTTCTCCCCCAGCGCATCGTTTTCTGTGCACGCCCAGGGATCTCGTTTTGTAGCCTTCCCAGGGGCGAGGAGAAGCACGTGCACCCGACCAGAACACACCCTCGCCAAACCAGTGCATGCAACACAAAACCCCGGTCCCCCGCAATGGCTGCGGCAAGAAGTAGGCTGTTCCGACCGGCGGGTCAAGAACTGAACTACAACCTCGTCTTTAAAAGGGGATCGGCACCCCTCTTCCAGGTGGCAGGGGCGTCCCGCTCAGTTGGGCATGGGCCCCACGGCGGGTGGGGAAGCAGGGGGCCCGGTCTCCCATCCCCGCGCCCCCGCCCAGCTGAGTCACTACACGGCCGTGCGCTGCCGGTCGCCCAACCGGCCAGGCGGGCGGCCCTGGCGGGGTCGGTCCCGGATGTGGCCGCTGTCGGGACCCACCTCGTCGGCCTCCCGCCCTGCTGGCCATTCCGGGACGAGACCGCGGTCGGACCAGTCCTTCTGGCTCTGGAGATCTGCAGGGCGGCGCCAGGCGGGTCCCCAAGGCCCAAGCCCACGGGGACACCAAGGAGCCGGGCCGACTGCCCGCCTGCCCCGTCTGCCCGCCCGCCCGGCGCGCCCTGCCGGTCGGCCCGCCCCTTCTTTTTTCTTCTCTCCCTTTTTCCTCCGTCCCGCCGCTCGCCGCCCCGCTTACTTGGCTTTGAGGCGCAGCAGCTCCTCAAACTGCCCCGCCGAGCCGACCTCCACCACCTCCGCGACCGCCTCAGCCGCCCCCGCCGCCATGCTGCAGCCGCCAGACGGAAGCAGTCGAGCGCGGGCGGCTCGATGGGGCGGGGCCGACGCGCAGGGTGGCTGCGTGCGCATAGGCCCCGCCCATGACTCCGCCCTCTCCGCGACGCTCCGCCCCCAGGCCGGCGCTGCAGTTACCAGGAAGTCCTCCGGCGGCGCCTGTGCACTCGGGAGCTGACGGCTGTTCTGGTCTCATGGGATGGGAGCTCGGGGTTCCTGGCTGTCCGGGTCCTGCATGGGCTCCAGGCTATGGGGGGTTCTGACTGTCCCGGATCCTGGTTGTGGACCTTCCCCTGCAGCTCATACACGTTTCTGGACCAAGCCCCACAATCTGTAATAGCAGGAAGTTGTGTGCGCGACAGAACCAGAGAGGGAGTATGGTGGGGAAGGGTAAAAAACAGGCATAAAGGTGGGAAGTACATAAAAAGCTGGACATCGATCTACCATTTGATCCAGCAATACCACTCTTGGGGATATACCCAAAAGACTGTTACTCCAGAGGCACCTGCACATCCATGTTTATTGCGGCACTATTCACAATAGCCAAGTTATGGAAACAGCCAAGATGCCCCACCACTGATGAATGGATTAAGAAAATGTGGTATCTATACACAATGGAATTTTATGCAACCATGAAGAAAAACGAAATGTTATCATTCGCTGGTAAATGGATGGAATTGGAGAACATCATTCTGAGTGAGGTTAGCCTGGCCCAAAAGACCAAAAATCGTATGTTCTCCCTCATATGTGGACATTAGATCAAGGGCAAACACAACAAGGGGATTGGACTATGAGCACATGATAAAAGCGAGAGCACACAAGGGAGGGGTGAGGATAGGTAAGACGCCTAAAAAATTAGCTAGCATTTGTTGCCCTTAATGCAGAGAAACTAAAGCAGATACCTTAAAAGCAACTGAGACCAATAGGAAAAGGGGACCAGGAACTAGAGAAAAGGTTAGATCAAAAAGAATTAACCTAGAAGGTAACACCCACACACAGAAATCAATGTGAGTCAATGCCCTGTATAGCTATCCTTATCTCAACCAGCAAAACCCCTTGTTCCTTCCTATTATTGCTTATACTCTCTCTACAACAAAATTAGAGATATGGGCAAAATAGTTTCTGCTGGGTATTGAGGGGGGGAGCGGGAGGGGGTGGAGTGGGTGGTAAGGGAGGGGGTGGGGGCAGGGGGGAGAAATGAACCAAGCCTTGTATGCACATATGAATAATAAAAGAAAAATGAAAAAAAAAAAAAGAATTAACACACACACACAGGAAATTAATGTGAGTCAACTCCCTGTATAGCTATCCTTATCTCAATCAGCAAAAACCCTTGTTCCTTCCTATAGTTGCCTATACTCTCTCTTCAACAAAATTAGAAATAAGGGCAAAATAGTTTTTGCCGGGTATCGAGGGGGTTGGGGGGAGAGGGAGGGGGCGGAGTGGGTGGTAAGGGAGGGGGTGGGGGCAGGGGGGAGAAATGACCCAAGCATTGTATGCATATACCAATAATAAAAAAATAAAAATTAAAAAAAAAAAAGGTGGGAAGTACAAGAGAGGGGAGGCCATCTCTGAATCCTAACACTGAAAGGGCATTTCAGCTCAGTCCTGGAGGAGCTGAACCCCGGCCAGTCATGTGTCCAGCCCAGCCCAGATAACACCTCATCCCCGAAGTGCCACCCCTTGTCATAGCCCTTAGGGGATCCATTACCCATTATGACCCTGGTGCAGCAAGGCCTTAGGTGGCCCCATTGCCTCTGAGCATCACAGAGCCCCTTTCCAGGACCCCTGCATTCCTCCCACTCGGACCTCCTGGCCTCCAGGTCCCTCTTGCCTCTGGCCTTCTTGGCTTCTCTGACTTTCTTTGGTCTCCCGTCATGGTGACCCTCCAGAGGTCTTCGGCACTCCCTTCCCGTGCTTCCCATACACTCTGGCCTGGGTCATTTCCTCCATTCTTTAGGTTCGTCAGTCTCCAAGGAAACCTCAAACAGCAAGCCCAGAACCCTTCCCTGCTCCCCAGGGCCCAGCATCCATCTTCTGTGGAAGGAGGCTGTCTCTTATAGAGTGTCTCGAAGCCACAGCAGGCCTTCCCTCCTCAGCTCCTCTGCTCTGCTGTTCCCATTTCACAGAGCACGATGGCTCCCACTGGACCGTCTGGGCGCCTCTTTCCTGGTCTTCCTGCTCTGGCTGGGCTCTGAGTCAAGTCCTTATAGGACCTTCTCTGCAGGCTGAATGTCCCAGGGCACACTGCGCTTGCTTCTGCAATGGATGCATTTATGTCTAAGCTGGGCTTGCCTCCTCCAGGGGCTGTGTTCTCAGAAAGCAAAGTGTCTCCTTCCTAGTGACTTCATAGGCAACACAGAACCCTGGTCCCTGCTCCCTGCCCACCTCTGGAAGAGAACTAAGGTGGCCTAATTTTAAAGACTGTATAAAAAGGGAATGTACCATATCACTGACAATTTCCATATTGATTACATGTTAAATGATAATATTGAATACACTGGAAATTAAATATACCTCTTTTTAAAACCTATGTACTGGGGCACTTTAATAAAATTTTTCTTTTGGTGGTACTAGGGTTTGAACTCAGGGCCTCACACTTTGCTAGGGCAGTCTCTCTAGCACTTGAGTCACACCTCCTACTGTTTACTAGGGCATTTAAAATTACATAGGCAACTCTTACAGGTAGCTCATTGTGTATCTTCTGTTGGCATTGCTATTCTAGTTGATTAAAAGCAGCCATAGATGCCCTGTTTCACAAGTGCCTCACCTTGAGAAGAGATGCCACTAAAAATGCAAATTATATTGTTCAAAATGGAACAGGAGAAACAATGAGGAACTGTTTATTTCTTGGCTATGGTGCTAGGTACCTAACTATGAAGTAGGGTTATGTAGCAAACAAATACAAAGTTGCATCCAAAAAAGGCACATGGGTTGTGTGCAAATATTAACTTCCTAGTTACAATACTGGATTGCAGTTTCCTTTAGCAAAGTGTTAGAATTGGGTGAAAGTGTACACTGTTTCTATTATTTTTTTAACACATGCATATGAATCTACAAATTCTTTTTTCAGTACTGGGGCTTGAACTTAGGGCCTTGCACTTGCTAGGCAGGCCTTCTACCACTTGAGCCTCACCCCCAGTCCTTTTCTTTTTAGTGTGTTTTTAGCTGGAGCAGAGCTGGGATGAGATCCTCCTGCCTTTACCTCCCAAGTAGGTGAAATTACAAATGTCTGCAACCACACCTGGCTCTACAATGATTTTAAAATAAAAATTTTGGTTGATAGAAAACAACAAAAAAATGCAATAAAGCCTTAGAGACTACTGTGGGGAATGCAATGGGGAATGAGATCATGTTGTAAAAACAGGATTCCTTCTCCAATTGTCTTTTGTTTTTGCAGTACTGGAGTTGCAATTCAGGACCTATATCTTGAGCCACTCCACCGGTCCTTTTTTGTGATGGGTTTTCTCCAGATAGGATCTTGCATATTATTTTCCCTCATGGGCCTCAAACCATAATCCTCCTGATCTCTACCTCCTGAGTAGCTAGGATTACAGGCGGGCGGGAGCCAGCAGCACCCGGCTTCCAATTGCCACTTTTAAGCACAGAATTATATACAGATAAATATGTAGTGGCTATTGCCTATAATCCCAGGACTAGGGAGGTAGAGGCAGGAGGATCACCAGTTCAAAGCCAGCCTGAGCCACTCAGTGCAACGCTGTCTCAAAAAAAAAAAAAAAAGAAAGAAAGAAAGAAAAGAGAAAGAATTATATGTAAACAAAATATATAAACTAGCTGAAGGTGGCATAGAAAAGGTCTCCAGAAAGCCATGCCCACAGAGTAAAAGCAAGCGTGCTTAAGGGAGGCCCTTCTCTCTTCACTGACCCACTTCTTTGTGTCTTCTGCATGTTTTCAGAGTGTGGACTGCCTTTGCAACATAAAAATAATGAAATTGTAGTGCAGGGAGGTGATGTGTTATTGTGAATATTTAACAGAAAAAGAGTAATCACTCCTCACACATCCAGTTTTATAAATCCTGATTTCTCCTTTAAATGGAATTTGCTGGAAGTAGCATATAGCAGCAGACTTTCTACTTCAGGGAAATTACTACAAAAGGTCCTGGCTAACAGTTCCTATCCTGCCCCAGCCTTTTCCATAGTTATCACCACTGATATTAACAGACCCGGGGAAGAGCAAGAATGACTTCTTGGCTACAAAACGCTCTCATGTCAGCAGCAAAGACCACACTCAGCCCTGAGACAAGCTGCATTTTGGGGAGCTGGTGCACCCAAGTAACAGATGTGTACAGGTATACGTTGGCAGGTGGGTAGAGCTTCTCATCTTTCCAAAGCACTTAAACAGAGTCCATATTTCTTACTCAGGATTCCTGGAGCTGAAGGGGCGAAAGTCATCCCTGCTCACTCCACCCCACCCCAGTTTATGTATGCCCATACCCACAACAGGGGAGGGCAGTGGCCAGACTCCCTGCTTCATCCCTCAAGCTCTTCTCGCCCACTGCTGCTTGGGGGAGTGCAGTGATGTTAGGGCCCTTGAGGGAAACACTGGCTATTTCCATATGGTGTGCTTTGGGCCTGTTGCAGGTTTCCCCTGTGCCCTGTAAGTGCCCGAAACTTCAAATGTAGGAAAGCAAGAGATTGGCACTGATTTTGGCCATGTCCACATGGGTTCATTCTGGGCACTGACACTCTGCTGACCCCATGTATAAGCACCATTCAGCAGTGTCACATGCCCACTTGGGGGCTGGGGGTCCCACCTGGGAATCCAGAGGAGCCGTCAAAGTCCTCTTGGCAGGCGTCACTTTCTGAGCTGCTGGTCCTGCCCTTGACCGAACCCAGAAAGAACTTGAGGCAGCATAGCAGGAAACTTAAGGTGGAACAATTAAGCTGCCCCAGGGTGCTCTGTGGCAGTTCAGGAGCCCAGAGCATATGGACCAGGGCCTGGAGCTCTGGGCCAGGGGGGCCAAAGACCTGGTCTGGGAGAACCGAACCTCCAGTGGAAGGTAAGCAGGGGGTGCCTAGGCTTTCT